TGGGGGCACAGAGGGGGATTGGGGTGGGATTGGGGTTTCCTGGGTGGAATTGGGGGTGTCCTGGGGTGGGATCAGGGTGTCCTGGGTAGGGTTGGAGTGTTTTGGATGGGTTTGGGGTGGAATGGGGTGTCCTGGGGTGGGATCCATCCCTGGGGCTGGCTTGGTGACACTCCCTGGAGGATTTGGAGACATCTTAGGGATGGGAACCATCTTAGGGACCCAGACTGGGTCTGTGGCCACTCCCAGCATCCCCCCATCCCCACTCACCACCTGGACACATTCCATGAGGGGCAGGCGCACGGCCTGGTTGCCGGACAGACTGACCACGCAGGCCGGCGTCTCCGGTGTCCCCTCAAGCAGCGCCATCACAGCCTCCACACCCATCCTGCTGGCCTGAGGGGACATCAGGGGTGTCACCTCCCAAGGGGAGCTGTCAGTCACCTCCAGGTCCCTTTGTTTGGGACCGAGGTGAGGAAGGAGGTGCCCACCAGGATGCGGTCGAAGGCTGAGGGGGTCCCCCCACGCTGGACATGGCCCAGGATGGTCACCCTGGTGTCGTATCCCAGACGTTTCACCACCAGCTGCAGGGACACAGGAGAGCTCTGGGACTGGCCCCAAAAAGGGAGGGGGCAAAGGGGGATGTCCCCCATGTCCCCCCATCCCCACTCACAGCTTTGATCTCGTCCGAGGTGATGGCCTTGCCGTGCTTGTCGATGGCACCCTCAGCCACAATGATGATGTTGAGCCTGGAGCCACCATCACGGGTCTGGGGGGATCACAGGGTATCAACAAGGATAGGGATGGGGGGAGATCATCCCTCCATCCCTCCATCCCTCCATCCCCATGTCCATCCCTCCCGCCCACCTCAGTCAGCCTCCTGCACAGGTGCTCCTCCCAGTCGTCCTCGGGGGGTGACTCAGGGATGAAAACCCAATCAGCACCACAGGCCAGGGCTGTGATCAGCGCCAGGTACCTGAAATGGGGCCAAAACCTGCTTTTGAGCCACTTCCCCCAATTTTTGGGGTGACAAGAACCCCTCCTAGGTGCCAGAACGTACCCGCAGTGCCGCCCCATCACCTCCAGCACAAAAGTCCTCTGGTGGCTGTGGGGACAAGAAAGCGTCACCCACCCGAAATGGGAACACCGGGGGCTGGGGGACAACAAGAGTGTCCTTGTCACCTCTGCGCTGTGGTGGTGATGGCGTCCACGATCTCCATGATGCGGTGCAGCGCCGAGTCGGTGCCGATGGTCATGTCAGTGCCGCAGAAGTCGTTGTCGATGGAGCCCACCATGCCCACAATGTTCAGGTGGCTCGAGCGCTGCGCCTCCTCTGCCGTGATGCCACCTGGGGAGAGGGTGGGCAGGAGGGGGACGCCATCCCCAGATGGTCACTTGGGGGGTAGAGGTGTCAAAGGGATTGTTTGGGGGAAAAACACTCAGCTTTGGGTAACAAAACACCATATTTTTGTGTAGGACACCTTGATTTTGGAACCAAAGTTTTTTTGGAATCACAAACTTATATCACACTGCAACACAAACCTTCCCACACCTTCCTTTCCTGACGTGAGACCCCCCCCCCAAATGTCCCCTTAGGGGGAAGCAGTGCCATAAATCTCTATTTTGCAGGAAAACCTCAAATTTTTGAGTGCCGCACCCTGCTTTTTTTAACCACACCCTCTTTTCCTTCTGTGTCCCCCTTTAAAACATCTTCAACAGTGCCCCAAACCTCCATAATTATGGAAAAAAAACCAATTTTTGAGTTTCACATCCTGATTCAAAACCAAACCTTTCCACACCCCCTGTTCTCTCTCTGCCCTCCTCCAAAGTGTCCCCTTGGGGAGCAAAAGTGCCCTAAACTTCCATAATTAGGGAAGAACACCACATTATTATGTGCGAAAACCCAAATTTTTGTGTGCTTTGAACCCAAACCTTTCTCTTTTGACCCCAACCCTTTCCCTGTGCCCCCCTCCCTCTCCCTCACCCCAGGGGGGTTTCGGGGCTCCCCCGGTGTCCCCCCATACCAGTTTTGAGCAGCTCTGCCAGGAGCCCGCCCCACTCGGCGCGGAAGGTGTCGGCACCGGTGAGGCTGCCGTCGCCGCCGATCACGCACAGGTTGGTGATGCCGCGCTTGACCAGGTTCCGCGCAGCGCGCAGCCGCCCCTCGCGCGTGCGGAAATCCTGGCAGCGCGCGCTGCCAATCACCGTGCCACCCTGGGGAGGGACGGTGGGGCACAGCTGGCCTTCCTGTGTCTGTCCACCCCTCTGACCATCCGCCCATCTCATCCCCATGTCCATATCTCTGTCCCATCCTCATATCCATCCATCCATCCATCCACCCATCCCCACGTCCATCCCTGTGTCCATCCACCCATCCCATCCCCATGTCCGTCCCTGTGTCCATCCCTGTGTCCACCCTTCCCTCCCTCCCCCCATCCCAGCTCTGCTTCTGGGTCATTTTCTGCTGAGCCCAGCCCCAGTCTGGAACCAGTGAGGGACAAACTGGGACCAGTGAGGAGCATGCCCAGTGCCTCCCCAGCCCAGGAGGTGATTCCCCACTGTCCCCCTGTCCATGTGTCCCCCTGTCCATGTGTCCCTCACCAGCTGCAACATCATGGACACACTTTCCCACGTGGCCTCCCTGATGTGGTCACCACCGTCCACCAGCCCCTGGTAGCCCTGTGGGGACAGAACAGACAGTGGTTCAAGGACACCTTTTCCCAAATTTTGCGGTGGGGCAGTGGAATTTCGGGGTTGGGGCTGACACTGACCTCACACACGAAGAACACTTTGGCCCCGGTGTAGATCCCCACACGCACCACGGCGCGCACGGCCGCGTTCATCCCTGTGGGGCACCGCCATCATCCTGTCACCCCTTGGTGACATCCCCAAGCCCCTGTCACCTCCCTGCAGCTGCCACCCCTCAGTGGACACCCCCAATCTGTCCCCCCCGTACCCCCCCTGTCCCCCCCCTCACAGCTGCCACCGCCTGGGTTATTTTTGCCCCGGTGACCTTTGGTGGCAGCACCTGACATGGGTGACAAACACGGGGGTGGGGGGAGGGGACACTCGGGGGGGGGCCCGCATGGCCTGGCACCCCCCCCATGTCTGTCCGCCCCCCATCCTTGGGACCCCCAGAAAAATCCCAAATCTGCGGATGAATCCTTGGAATTTTGGGCAATCCTGATTATTGTGGCTCAGTGCCAAAGTGCCACCGGCGCCCACTTGGAGTCCCCTGCCCGAATTTTGTCACTGTTGCTCCCCTCTGCTATCCCAAAACCCCTCGAGCTCCACCCGACCCCCAAACCCCCACCAAGGTCATTCCCAAAACCTCAATCCAGGGAAAACCCTGATGGTTGTGGCATCAAAATCCTGATTTTTACCTCCAAATGAGCGGGTTTAGGGACTTGGGGGGGGTGGATTTTAGGAATTGGGGGGGGAGAATTTTAGGTGGGAGGGGGGGGGATTTGGGGGGGGGGGGGGGACTTTGGGATCCCGGGGATCCCAGGGGATTTGTGGAGTTTTGGAGGAGGGGGGAGAAATTCGGGGGGGTTTGGGGGGATTTCCAGGGATTTCGGGCTGGGGATTTCTAGGGATTTTGGATCCCGGGGGTTTTGAGGTGCTCTTACCCTGCGCGTCCCCCCCGGAGGTGAGGACGGCGATGGCTTTGCCGACCCCCAGGGTCTCAGTGTGCTGGGGTCCCGCGGGGCTCGGGGGCATTTTCCTGCCTGGAAAAAATCGGGAAATTCGGGCAAATCCCAAGGTGGGACGGGCGGCTCTGTCCCTCTGGGTGACGCTGCCAGCGCAGAGTGGCACCCTGGGGAGGAACGCGGCGACACTGGGACAGCCCCGCTGCCACCGCCGGGACACTCCCGCCCGGGGGGGCGTGGGGGGACTCCTTACTGGGAGTCCTCGTTACCGGTCCCAGTCTCGATTCCCTACTGGGGCCAGGCTGTCCTTAGCGGTCCCAGCCTCTCCTTACTGGTCCCAGTTTGTCTTTACTGGACGCAGTGCATACTCTCTCTGGGAGTTGCTCCGTCCTTCTTACTGGTGCCAGTCTCTGTTCCTTACTGGTGCTAATCTGTCCTTACTGGTCTCAGTTTGTTTTCCCTGCCCTGCTCTCCTTAATGGTCCCTGTCCCTCTTTAGCGGGGCCAGTTTGTCCTCACTGGTCCCAATTCCTGTTCCCAGTGGGAGCTGCTGTGTCCTCCTTACTGGTGCCACTTTGTCCTTACTGGTCCCAGTTTGTTCTTACTGGTTCCAGTCTTTAGTCCCAGTGGGAGCTGCTCTGCACTCCTTACTGGTGCCACTCTGTCCTTACTGGTTCCAGTCTGGATTCCCTGTTCATCCCAGTCTCTATTCCCTGTAGTTATTGGTCCGCCCTCCTTACTGGTGCCAGTTTATCCTCCTTACTGGTCCCAGTCCATCCTTACCAGTCCTCGTCTGTGTTCCCTGTGGGACTCTGCACTCCCCACTGGTTCCAGACTGCTTTCCTTACTGGTCCCAGTCCCCATTCTCGCCTCTCCCGGTTCCAGCTCCCCGCCGGTCCCCGTGCGGGGCTGTTACCGGTCCCAGTTCCTGCTCCCTGCTGGTTCCAGTACCTGTCCCTAACCGGTTCCAGTTCATCGCCGGTCCCGGTGCAGGGCCGTTACCGGCCCGGGTCGCTTTTCCCGGTGGGATCTGCTCTACTTTCCTTACTGCTCCTAGTCCCCGTTCCCTGCCGCTGCCTCTCCCGGCTCCGGTTCGCTCCCGGTCCCGGTCTGCGGGCGTTACCGGTGCCGGTCCGCGGGCGTTACCGGTGCCCTCCCGGGGCCGTTAGTGGCGCCAGTCCCGCTGCCCACCGGGAGCACTGACCTGCGGAGCGCCGCCGGCCCGGCCCGGGGGGGAGGAAGGACAGCAGGAGGAGGAGGAGGAGCGCGGCCACGGAGAGCGCGGCCGGGGCCGCGAACCGAGACAGAGCCGGGGCCACCGGGACCGCCACCATGGCCCGGGGACAGCGCCACCATGGCCTGGGGACGGCGCAGGGACACGGGCTGGGACCGGGGGATTGGCTGCGGGGAGCGCTGTAATGGGATCGGCTGTAATGGGATCGCCCGTTAGGGGATCAGGGTAACGGGATGGGTGTAACGGGATCGGCTGTGACGGGGTCGCTGTAATGGGATCGGGGTGACGGGATCGGTGTAATGGGATCGGCTGTAACAGGATCGGCTGTAATGGGATCGGCCGTTATGGATCAGGGTAACGGGATCGGCTGCAATGGGATCGGCCGTTATGGATCAGGGTAACGGAATCGGCTGTAATGGGAGCGCCCGTTATGGGATCGGGGTAACGGGATCAGCTGTAATGGGATCGCTCGTTATGGAATCGCCGGTTATGGGATCAGCTATAATGGGATCGGCTGTAGGGTCCAGCTACTGTGGGATTGACTGTAATGGGATCGGCTATTATGGGATAGGCTGTAACAGTTTTGGATGTAGGGACCAGCTGTAACAGGACTGACCATAGGGACAAATTTGGAATGGGATCAGCTGTAACGGGATCGACTGTGATGGGATCGGTGGTAGGGACTCACACACAGAGTGAACCCTCCATATGGTCATAGCCCCCAGAGAATGACCCCCTATAGGGTCACAGCTCCCACAGAGTGACCCCCCACCACAGAGTGACCCCTATAGGGTCAGCCCCCCTGTCCAGGGTGGCCCCTCCTTTCCGGCTGCCCCCCCGGACCTCCCAGCCGCCAGGGGGCGCTCTCCGCTTCCAGCAAATCGCGGCTCCCTCCCCCGGTCTGGCGGCAGCACTTCCGGCAGCGCTGCCGCCGCTCACTTCCGCTTCCGCTGCTTCCCCCTCGCTGCCGCCGCGGAGCCCGGGAGAGCCGCGCGCGCTCGGGAGGCTTCCGGTTCCATTTCCGCTTCCGGTGCGGCGGCCGGGCCGGCTGAGGCAAGAGAAGCGGCGGCAGCTCCGGACCCTCCTGCGCTCCCGGAACGGGCTCTTCCCTCTCCCGCTGCCCTCACACCCGACTCCGCCACCACTGGGCCTTTTCCCGTGCCCGGTCCTGCCGCTGCCCGGGGCCGAGGTGGCGGCGCTGCCCTCCATGAGGATGGAGGCCCGGGAGGTGGCGCGGGCCCGGCCCGGCCCGGCCTTCAAGGGTTTCGGCGCCGAGAGCAAGGTGCGGAGCGGGGGGGCGCGGGGCCGGCGCGTTCCTGGGCTCCGTTTCCGCCGGACCGGAGCCGCCGAAGCTCCTTCCCTCACGGAACCACCGCGGGATTTGGGCGGGAAGCGGATTTGGGAATATTCGGGACAATTCCCCCATCCCAGGGAATCCTAGGGCACTTCCAGCCGCGGTTTCTCTGGGGGAACGCAGCCTGGAAACCGCAGAAGTCAAATCCCAATCCCGTTTTTGGGAATTCCCGGTTCCCGGCGTGGGAATTCCGCCTGGAATATGCCGGGAATGGGGAGCCCAAGTGTGGGACCCACCGCGGGTCCAGAGCTGCGAAATTCAGGATTTTCCCAGCAGTTTTTGGGTTCTTGCTGCTCCATAAATTCGCTCCACAAAATATGGGAGCTGTAACCTTTAGAAGCTGGGCATTTGGGGAGTTTGGAGAGCTGTGATGGATAGGAATTGCAAACCTTAGGACCTGTAAATTTGGAGAATTATTAATTTTGGGAATTGTGAAGTCCTGCCACCATTCCCAACCAGCCCTAGGAACACCCTTCCCTTTTCCCTGTATTTTTCCTGGATTCTTTCCTGGTATTTTCCCACTTCTAAGCAAAATATTGGAATTTCCCCTATTTTTTTTTTCCCAGTTTTTCCTCCCCAAACTCAGCAGCTTCTCCTGCCCTGCTGGGAACTCCTCCTGCTCCCTCAGCTACACCCCAGGTGAGTTTTCCCTCTGGAATTTGGGTTTTGGGGGTGTTTTCCCTAAAAACAACCCCTTGAGAAGGGGAAATTTGAGTTTTTCTGGGAACTCCTAGTGTTTTTCCCCTCAGAAATTCCTGAAAGATTCCCAGGAGCCAACGGGCAGTGGAGGACCTCCAAGCCCAGGGGGAGCCGAGGCTCCTTCCTGGAAACCCGTAAAAATTCCAGGTGGGTGCAGCAGATCTCAGATTTCCAGGTTTTGGTTGATACTTTTGGAGGATTTTAGTTGGGATTTTGGAGTTTTGATGATTTGACAGCGATTAGATGATTTTTTGAGGGGGTTTTATTTTTGGGATTTTTTGATGGTTTTTAATTTCTTTTTTGGGGAATTTTTTGGTGGGTTTAATTTGGGATTTTGGTTATTTGGGGGAGGATTTTTGAGATTTTTTTGGTGGGGATTGGGATTCTTGGGTTTTTTAAATTTTATTTGGGATTTTGTAGTAGGGGGGATTTGGGCAATTTAATTGGGGGGTTTGGGGATTTTTTTTTTTATTTGTGGGACTTTTTGGGGCTTTATTTGGAATTTGGGCCCTTTCATCTCTCCTTCCGTGCAACCTTTTGTGATTTTATTCGGGATTTTAAACCGATTTTCAGGATTTACAACAAACCTGCGGTGTTTTTCCCTCCTTCCAGCGGGAACCCCAGCACTTTTGGGGGAAAATCCGCCCTCCATGGAGCCTCCTTCCCCCTGAAGCCGGCCCCGAGCCCTTCCTGGAGCCGCCGCAGCCCCAAGAAGGCCCCGCGGCGCTTCTTGAGCGCGGCCGAGGAGGTGACGGAGAAACCCTGGGGCATCCCGGGGCTTTGCGGGGCTGGGAAACCCAGGGGTTTGTGGGGTTGGGGTGTCCAGGCAGGGCTGGGAATGGAAATCCTGAGAAATCCCAGGGGTTTGTGGGGTTGGGGTGTTCCGGCAGAGGTGGGAGCACATCTGGGGTTAAACACCAAATTCCTGGGGTTTTCCAGCCCTAAATCCCATTTTTTTTGGGAGTTTTTCTCAGCATTGCCTTTGTGGGATTCCATCAGATCCCTGAATTTGGGGGGAATCCCTGGGATCAGTGAATTCCAGGGTTTTGAGAGGAGTTTTTTCTGTTCTCTTTGCCTGCAGACGGTGCGGGAGGAGGAGCGGGAGATTTACCGGCAGCTGCTGCAGATGGTGACTGGGAAGAGGTTCTCCAGCTGCAAACCCTCCCCGCTGCTCCCCTTCCACCTGTGAGTCAGAAGCATCCCAAAAAATCCTGAAAACCTGCCCCAGATCCCAAAGAACCTCAAAATCCCTGCTCGAATCCCAAAAAACCCTCTGCAAATCCCTGAAAATCATCAGAGACCCTGCCCAAACCCCAAACCACTCCAAAACCTCTCTCCTAACCCCCTAAAAAAATCCTAAATCTTCTCCCCATATCTCAAATTTCCAGTCTTCTTCCAGGAATTTCCCTAACTGGGTATTTTGATTTTTTTTTTTTTTGCAGCTCCCGCTGTCCCCGTTCCGGCCCCTCCCTGCCCCAGGAGGCTCCCAGGGATGATCCCGAGGCACTGGAAATTCACAAAATTCCAGCTCCTGTTCCACATTCCCCGGAGCCACCCCAGAATTCTCAAAATCCCCCCCTGGGCCCCTCTCCAGGGTTTCCTGGTGAGTTCCAGCCCCGGAATTCTGCGGCTCCGCACCAGCAGGAGGAGGAGCCAGGAGCTGAGGCACAGAGTGAAGGTAAAGATTCCCGAGAATTCCAGAAATATAACCCCCAAACCACCAAAATCTCAATAAAACAAGACCACAAATAAAACCCCCAAAAAATCTGAAATTAACAAAAAAAAAAAAAAGTCCCAAAAAACTCCTCAAGAAAGTCCCAAAGAAAATACCCCCAAAAATCCCCCAAATCCCCAAAAAAATGAAACTAAATCCCAAATAACCCCAAACTCTGGGAAAGGGATTTAAATTCTGTGGCCAGTCTGGGGTATTTATTCAGGATTGGGAGATATTTGGGGTAGGAATCAAGGAGGACAGAAATCCAGGAATTTTTCCCATTTTTAGGGTCAGATTCTGTCATTTTGCTCAAGGTCAAGGATTCCAGAACTCCGGCTTCAAGGTAAGGGGTGCGAAAAGGGGGTGTTTTGGGGATTTTTAGGGACACGGGGAGGTGACAATGAAGAGGGACAGGGTGAGAATTTGGGAAATGAGGGAATTCTGGGGAAATTCTAAGTAATTTCCAACCCTCCTTTTTCTCTCTTTCCAGCCTCCCCTTTTTCCAGGCTGAGCTATGGATCAAAGAGCTGTGAGTTACTATTCCCTGCTGGCTTTTCCTGGGATTTTTGGGGTGGAAAAACCAAAATCCTGATTTTTTAAATGAATTTGTCCATGAAATTTTTGGTTTTTCTAGGACCAGTGTCTATGATTCCCGAGCCAGAGAGAGGTGGAGGCAAATAGAGGAGCAGAAAGCTCTGGCCCTGCAGCTCCAGAGCCAGGTGAGAATTACACGGAAAAATACCCCGGACTGGGACAATTGGGGAAAAACAGTTGGAAAACAGGAAAAATCAACTTTTTGTAGGCCTTTGTTCTTCTCAATCCTGGGATAAACAGCAATGAAAAGAGGGAATATTGTCTCACATTGGAAACTACTGGAAATCTTGTCACTGGGAAGGTGGTCAGGGCTTGGAAAAGGAGTCAGAATCCAGGGAAATGGGGAAAAAATGCAGATGTGGCACAGGGGACAGGCCTGGGTGGCTCTGTAAAGGTTTAATTCCATAATCCTGGAGGTTTATCCCAGTTTCATCAATCCCAACCCCTCCTTTTCCCTCTCTGGCCCCCCACAGCGGCTGCAGGAGCAGGAGCGCTCGGTGCAGGACCTGGTGGATCTGCACCTGCGCGTGCCCCTGGAGAAGGAGATCCCGGTGGCCGTGGGGCCCGAGGGGCTGGAGCGCGCCCGGCCCGGCCAGGGCGACGATGACTTCCCCGAGATCACCGAGGTGGGGCTGCCCCGCAGGGGACTCTGGGGTCTGGGCACAGGGATGGGGCCTGAGCCCTCCTCAGGGTGAATTTATGGCTCAAGAATCAGTTTGGTGTTCGAGCCCTGGGGATTTGGGGACAGGAAAAGTTCTTCCTCAGATAGAACTCAGTTCAGGGAATTTCTGGGATTTGGGGACAGGGATGGAGCCCTGTGCCCTCTTCCCAGTGAATTTATGGCTCAAGAATCAGTTTGGTGTTAAACCCTTGGGGATTTGGGGCAGAATAAGCAGGAATTCTACCTCACCTGAGGTAGATCAGTTCAGGGAATTCCTGGGATTTAGGGTTTTGGGGTCAGTTCAGGGAATTAGCTTCAGGGAACTCCTGGGGTTGGGCACAGGGATGGAGCCCTGCACCCTCCTCCTGGTGAATTTATGGCTTAAGGGACTATTGGGCATTAAACCTTTGGCTATTTGGGGTCAGGAAAAGCAGGAATTTCACCTTCCCTTTCCCCAGGAAATGGAGAAGGAAATCAAGAGCCTTTTCCGAGGAGGGAACCAGGATGAGGTGCTGAGCGAGGCTTTCCGCCTGACCATCACCAGGAAGGACATCCAGACCCTCAACAACCTCAACTGGCTCAACGACGAGGTGAGAGCCCAACAGTTCCCATTTCCCACCCGTTTCCAGCAGCTTGGGAGGGGAGAATGCTTGGGGTGGGTGCTGGGAGGGGGTTTGTGGATTGGGATTCCACCCTGGACTGTTAAATCTGTGGGGGAAGCGGCACAAAATAAAAATAATGAATTTATGTGGGGAATTAATGATAATGGGAGGATGGGATTGGTGTGAACCGAGAAAACAGTAAGTAAACCTTAAATTCCGACCTAAAGGCAAATTCGTAAAAATCCTTGAGTTGTCTCTGGAATGTTTTACTACAATGAAGCTACTGCAAACTCACCTGGGTTTTTTTGAAGGTTTTAATGCAAATCCTCCTTTTGGGGGGTTTATTCCCTAACTTTACACAGGGCCACAAATCCAACGCCATAGTAAATTAAATAAAAATCTACTAAAAAAATAAAAAACTCTGTTTTCCCCTTTTTTTTTCCTCCAGATTATAAATTTCTACAGGAATTTGCTGATGGAGAGGAGCAAGGACAGGATTTGCCTGCAGTCCACGCCTTCAACACCTTTTTTCTTCACCAAATTAAAGACTGCAGGGTACCAAGCTGTGAAAAGATGGACAAAAAAAGTGGATATTTTCTCTGTGGATCTGCTCCTGGGCCCATCCACAGGGAGTGCACTGGTGCCTGGCTGTGAGTGCTTGAATTATCCACACAAATCTCAGTTGGGATTTAGGGCCCAAATTTTGTTGGTTTTGGGAGATGCTGCCGGGAAAAATATGTGTTTGTGTCTCAAATCTGAGTTTAAAGGGAATACAAAGGTAGGAGCAGCTTTTTGTGGGGTTTTTAGTCCTTAAATTCAGGCTGGAGGTCATTTTAGGGCATTATTCCCTTGGGCAGATCTGATTTCCCCGTTCCCACCAACTGGTGCCACAGGATCTTGTTAAAGAGATTTAGGCCACAGATATTTCGCTTTTCCCCTTCCTTTGTCCCATCCCCTGCCTTGGCTCCTGGGATCCTGCGAGGATTATCCCCTGCCTTGGCTCCTGGGATCCTGCAGGGATTTTCAGCTCCTTTACCCAAAAGCCTCCTTAATTTATTAATTCCTGCTTGAATTGTTAATTAATTCCATGTAAAAGAGGTAATTTTCCAGCAAAAATGGCATGGGAATGGGGAGGGAAAGCACTGAAAATCACCTAAATCTGGGCCTTGAGAGATGGGGCAAAATTGTTGTAAACCCTTGGGAGGAATGATAATGATGGTGATGATGATAATGATGATGATGATAATAATAATAATAATGGCTCATTTAGACATTCGGGGATTAAAACCACAGCAGGAAATGGGGATTTCTGGGGGGAAATCCTCCTGTGGTGTGAAGTACCCTACATTGTTTTTGCAAGAAAAGGATTCTTGATTTTTTTCCCATTTTAAGGAATTTTTCTCTGTGCAGGTCGTGGATTTCAGGAAAAAAAACCATCACCTACTACGATTCCATGGGAGGGATCAACAGTGAGGCCTGCAGGATCCTGCTGTGAGTAAAATCCCTTCCCTGGCAAAATCCCACTCCTGCTTCCCCAGCCTTGGACACATTGACTTTACCCATTTTTGGGCTTTTTGGGGGGTCATTTTTGAGCCCTTTGAGGGTCATTCTTAGATCCCTTTAGGGTCATTTTTTGGAGGCTCCTTTAGGGTCATTTTTGCTCCCTTTTTCAGGCTCATTCTCCCCTTTCAGGACATGAAAAATTCCTTCTCTTCCCTGGAATTCTCTCCCTGTTTCTTCCCATGGGATTTCGGCCTCTCCTGATCCAATTTTAGATTTTTGGGGGTAATTGATTTGTGAATCCCAACCCTGAATCCCTTAGGGAACAGCCAGACAGAGCAGAACCTCAGAATTGCCATTTTCCCCATGAATTCCAGCTTTTCCTGCTCCTTTTCCCACAGGCAGTACCTGAAACAGGAAAGTTTGGATAAGAAAAGGAAGGAATTTGACACCAACGGATGGGCCCTGCTGAGCAAGAAGAGCCAGGTTTGGACAGCCCAGAATTCCCAAAGAATTCAGCATTTCCTTGGATTCCCAGCCCTTTTTGGGCCCCTTTTCCCTCAGGGAAGAAAAGGAGGAAACAAATCCCAAACCTTGGGAGAGGAAATTTTCCACAGGGGAAGGGTTTGGGTGGGATTTGGGCAAGGTGGGAATGCAAAACATTCCAGAATTCTGGGGACCTTCCTCCAGATTTCACTGGGATTTTGGGGTTTTTTCCTGGCCTTGGGGGTTTGGGGGCTGAGGGAAGGGGGGGGATGTGGGAATTTGGGAATGTTGATTGCTGTTTTTTCCCCAGGAGATCCCGCAGCAGATGAACGGCAGTGACTGCGGGATGTTCGCCTGCCGCTACGCCGAGTGCATCTCCAAGGACAAACCCATCAACTTCACCCAGGTACCCCAGGGGCTGCAAATGAAATAAATTCCACAATTCCCATCCTGCAAACCCCCCAGGGCCAGGAAAAACCCCGAAATTCCAGCGGGATTTGGGGGAAATTCCAGCATTCCTCACCCGATCCAAGGAATCCCCACCCTATTTCCCATTCCTAGCCACCCTCCCCCCCTTCCATGGAATTGTCCCCAAGTCCCTGGAAAAAGCTCCCAAGCCCCAGTGCCAGGGAAAATCCCAAATATTCCCCCCAAAATCTGAGACAAATTCCCCATTCCTCCCCAAAATTTCAAGGAATTCCTGGGTAATTCCCAACCTCCAGGAATATCCCTCTTCCCTCCTCCAGCATTTCCAGATCCCAGCACTCCCAAATTCCCTCAGGTCCCAGACCCCCAGGGCCAGGAAAACCCCAAACTTTGCCAAAATCCCAGCGAAATCTAGAATGAATTCCCCCATTTTTTGCCTGAATCCCCAGAAATTCCCATTTTTTCCCCCCATTCCCACGAACCCCAAAGCCCCAAATTTCCCCCTTTTCCATTATTTTCCATGGGGAAAAAAAAGCCTGAATCTGCCCCTGGATGAGCAAACCTGACCAAAATTCCCATTTTTTCCCATTTTCTCCCCCAAAATTCCCAAAGCAAACACATGCCCTACTTCAGGAAGAGGATGGCCTGGGAAATCCTGCACAGGAAGCTCCTCTGATGCCAGAAAAATCCTGAAATTCCAATGATTTGGATCAGAAGAATCCCAGGATTCTCCTGGGGACGCAGCCAAGGAACTCCGGGTCCTGCTCCTCCCAAAACCCCCCGGGATTCGGGGGGAATAGAAAAGTTTGGAAGCACAGCTGGGAACTTTTGGAGTTTCTTTCCCTCTTTTTTGAGATTCCAGGATGGATTTTCCCACTTTTCCATCTGCTGGATTGGGGAAATTTGGGAATTTTGGTCTTTTTGGAGCTGGATTTTCGGGAAAAGGGAGGAGTCTCTGTGGATTTGTGTTGGGAAAATCTGTATTTGGGAAAAGCAGGGGAAAGGTTTGGTTCTGGAGGGAATTTTTGGGGATCATTACCATATTTTCCACCTCATTCCCAAAGTTTGTGGATTTTATCCATAGGAAAACTTGGATTGAATCCCTGGGAATAATTCCTGCTTAAATCCTGTTTTTTCTTCCCAAATTCCCACTTTTGGGTGATTTTTCCAGGATTAAGCTTTGGAATGTCAGAATTCCTCTGAATTTACACCCAAACTTTGGTTTTCCAAGGGATAAATCCCAAAACCTGAGCAAAATCTGGGATTTTTGGTAAATTTTTGGGAATTTTCCTTTCCCTTTCAGGCTGCTTCATCCCAGCAGCTCCTGTTGCTTTTTCCAGTTGCTTTTCCCACGTTTTCCATGAAGAAATCCTCCCCAAATTGCAGGAACTGCAGAACCATGGGAAAACCCCCAAAATCCTGGGAATTCCTTCCATTTTTTCCCAAACAATGCCAGGATTTATTTGGGGAGCTTTGCCCACCCCTTTCCCTGGATTAATTTATTCCCAAATTTTTTGGTCCTTCCCCAAGCCTCTGGATTTGCTCTTCCTGGTGGAAAAGATGATTTTTAATAAGAAAAGTGGGGGAAAATCCCAAGTTTTTGTATTTTCCCTCTCCTGCAGGAGCTGGGAATTTTTTCTATTTTTCCCGAGCTGGGAGATGAAGTTTTGTACCAAATTCCCAAATTTTTGGAGCCCCTTTTCCTGGTTTTTCCCATCCCTTCGTGTCCCTTTGGATCCCAAATTCCCTCCCCTGTTTTATACCAGATTAATTTCCTACGTTTTTTAACTTTTATTGAAATTAAAGATCTGAAAAAAAAACTGGAATTGAGGAATTTTCCTGCTTTTTGTGCTAGATAAGAACACATTTTAATTATGAGTTTATAAATATGCGATAAATTTAATTTTTTTTTGCCAACTCCTCATGTGCTAGGTGACATTGTTCAGATGCAGTTGTACATTTATTTATCTGTCTCCATTCCTGTTCACAGTGGGAATCTCTGGAAAAGGGTTTGGGGTTCCTCCTCAGCTGAAGAAATCAGAGAAGGTGCCCCAAAACCTGGGAAAAATTCCCTGTAATCCAGGGAAAATTATTCAAAACTCAGGGAAAATGACCCAAAATCGGAGGGAATGCCCCAAAATCCATGCAAGATGCCCCAAATCTGATGTAGATGCCCCAAAATCCATCGGAAAATTACCCCAAATTCCCCCGGGAGCCCCCTCAAATCCCACCTGGAATTCCCTCCCCCCCGTCCAGGTGACAAAGGTCCTTTCACTTGCCTCCCCCCCTCCCCACTGGATCCACTGCTATTTTTACAAAAATTCCCAGAAAAAGTCGGGATTTGGGATAAGAGCTCCCTTTGTAGGGCCGTGGCTGGGCTCCAAAAAAAGTCCGGGACATGGAGCCCCCGTTCCACCCCATGCTGCCTGGGCAAGGCACCCTGAAAACCGGGAAAATTACCCAAAATCCAGGGAAAATGCCCCAACCACAAAAAGATGCCCCCAAAATAAATCAGACACAAATGCCCCAAATGCAGGAAAAATGCCCCAAAATCTGAGAAAGATTCTCCATAATTCAGGGCTGGGACTCCAAATTCTGAGCTGGGAGACCCCAGAGTTCAGAGCTGCCCCTCAAAGCCCTCAATTTTGGGTCACTTTGGGTCATTTTAGGTCATTTTTTACCCCAAATCCAGCCAGGTCTGAGCTACCCCCCCCTCAACACCACCCCTCAAACCCCTCTTTGGTTATTTCGGGGTCATTTTTGGGTGATTTTGGGGCATTTTTAATCCCAAACCCCAAGCAGGGCACTTTAACCCTCCAAACCCCAATTTTGGGGTCGTTTTGGAGTAACTTTAAAGGTAATTTTGGGGCAATTTGGGGTTATTTTTCACCCCAAACCCTCCAGGTCAGGGCTGCTCCCCCCAAACCCCAATTTTGGGGTGACCTGGGGTAATTTGGGGCCATTTTTAACCCTAAGCTGGGGCAGGGTCCTCACACTCCAGGAGCCTCCTGATCCTAATTCCTCCTAACGACTCCGACCCCATTAATCCCCCACAGGCTTGAGCCCTCATTAATTAATTAATTAACCCACAGCCCTGCTGGGCTTTTTTTTCTGGTTTTTGCCCAAAAGCAAAAAAAAAAAAAAAAACACCCCAAAACAATGCCCAAAAATCCCAAAAAAATCCCCGAACCTGATCTCCCTTCAAACCCTGGGACCCTCGGCCCAGCCCCCATCAAAAATCTCTTTTAAGGTTGGGGGTTTTTTGGGATTTTGGGTGTTTTTGGTGGTTTTTAAATTTTTTTTTCCCCTGGATTTATTTATTTTTTGGGATTTTTCCGGTTCTGGGACACAGGGGCGGCTTTGTCCCCGTGGCTTTTGGGGCCCTGGCTCGGTGCCACCCCAAATAGGGATTTTTTGGGATGGGGGGATGGGAGAATTCGCCATCAAAGGATCCAAAATCCCGGAGTTTTTTTTCACCTCTTCCTCGCTTCAGACAGGAGAAAAAAAAGAAAATTTTTAGAGTTTGGAGTTGGATGAAAATCCTGAATTTCAGGCATTTAGGGGGCAAAAAACTCCCAAGTTTTGGGGGGATCCTAAAAAATCAAAGGGTGAAGTGACCCCCCTGTAACATAGAGTGACCCCGAGGGAAAAAATTGGGAATTCCAGGGGAAAAATCAGCTTTGGGAATGGGAAAAATCCCTTAAGGGACACCAAATAATCCCAAGGTATCCCTCAAACCCATTCATCCAATTCCTAACGTTTCACTCCAAAATACCCCAGAAATAAAAACCACACAAAAAATACCCCCAAAATATTTTAAAAATATTTTTAAATACACAAGAATATTTTAAAATGCACCCATTTTTTTAAAAAATACCCCCAAAATATACAAATGCACACAAAAATCTTTTGAAAATTCCAAGCAATATTTGAAAAATACACAAATAATATAAAAAATATTCAATAAATAAAAAAGCCTCCAGAAAAAATAAAAATAATACACAAAAATATCCTTAAAAATGTACAGAAAATAACAAAAAAAAATCTAAAAAATACCAAAAACTGCAAAAAAACCCCCACCCTAATAAAAACATTAAAAACTAAAAAATTAAATAAACCAAAATAAATCAAAATAGCCCCCAAAAAATCCCCGGTGAGGCCCTGAGCGCCCTCCCCCTCGCTCCCTGAAAGGATCCCTTTGTACCTTTCCCAAAAAATCGCCTTTTCATCCCAAAAAAGGGGGAGGAGGGAAAGGAGGAGGAGGAGGAAGAGGCCGTGTGAGGGGGGAAGGCTTTGACCTCATCCCACAAAAATTCCCGGATTTTTCCCCCATTTCGGGCCCCTTCCCACCTTTCCAGGGGGAAAAGGGACAAAGAGGCTCTGTGTGACAAAACCCCAAAAATGGGATGAAAAAGGAAATTTTGGGGATTTTCCCACCAGGAAAAGGAGGGGAAGGGAAAACCCTAAATGGAAAAAAGGAATTTGGGATTTTTGGGTTTTTTAGGGTTTAAAAGCAAATTTTGTGTCCCTACAATTAATTTTTAGGGGGTAAATTCACCCCAAAATCAGGTTTTCTGTAAGGCTTGGGGTCTTCAAAATTGCTTTTTTCACATGAATCCACTGCAAAATTGGGGATTTGGGGGCTTTTTCATCCCTAAAAAAATCAATTAGAGGCTCAAAAAATGATTTTTTTTTATATTATTAAATTTTAATTTTTAATAGGAAATGTCAGGGGATAATTGAAAATATGGAGTGAAATAGCTGTGAAATTAGGAGGAAAAAGTAAAAACTGGGAGTTTTAGGTGGGGACAAAGATCGTTTTTCTGCTCCTCAATCCCAAAAGGATCCTAGGAATATTGGGGCCAGATCTGAGGTTATTGCAAGGTGCCAGAGGGAAAAAATGAAATTTGGGAGTTTTTGTGTTGAAAAAAAGCCCTTTTAGAAGGGAAAAATAAATTCCTGGCTCATCCCCAGTGAAGGAGTTCCCTCTCTGGGTTTGGGATTTTCATGGGATTGGGTGGTTTGGGAAAGTGGGAAAAAGCGGGAGGGAAATGGGGGGGAAAGTGGGGGGAAATTTGGGTAAAAATGGGGTGGAAAAGGAACAGAAATTAGGACAAATGGGGGAAAATGAGAATTAAAATTGGGCAAAATGGGGTAAAAATGGGGCAGAAATGAGGTTTGTATCAGGTGAAATTGGGGGAAAATTTGGGTTAAGATGGGACCAAAACGGAGTAAAATGGGGCAGAAATGGAGGGAGCTAAGAGCCAAATGAGACAAAAATAGGTCAGAAGTGGAGTAAAAAATGGGGAAAATTAGGGGTAAAAATGGGGGGAAATAGGATAAAAATGGGGGGGGGGGGGAATGGGGAAAAATGGTAAAAACTGAATTCCCTTTCCTCTCTCAGAATAATTTGAGCCTAAATTGGGGGATTTGGGGAATTTGGGGTGAGAAAATTGAGTCCCAAATCCATCGGGACGGGGCCGGTGACGCTCGCGGGTGGTGGCACCGGGATGGGACAGCCAGGATCCCGTGGGGACATTGGGGCGGTGCCACCCCTGTGCCGGTTCGGGTCCCAAACCACGCCCCCCGCTCTGCCCCCCGCCCCATTCCGGTGTCCCCTCCTGTCCCCGGCTCTGGAGAGGCCATCAGGGGCCGGGGGGGAAAACTGGGGGCGCTCGGCCTTACCTGTGTCCCTGCCACTTCAAGCAGTGCCACTGTCAGCTGTCACCAGTGGCACCAGCGGCACCTGTGCCACCGGGGTGCCCGCGCTCCGAGGAGGGCGGGAGGCGATGTTCCCACCCCGCTTTTGGGGGAGTTTTTGGGGGAATGTGCGGAGGGTTCAGGGGATTTGGGCTCGTCCCCGGCCCCGTCCCGGCTCTGTCACCCTGGGGACGGCAGCGGAGCCGCCCATGAATTTGGGGAGGGGTCGGGCAGCCCCTCCCTGGCGCTTTGATTCATTCCCAAATTTTCTGTTCCATCGGAAAGCGGCGGCCGCAGCCAAGGCCTGGCCCCGGTCCCGGCCAGATCCGGCCACGCCGAGCGCTCTTCCACCTGCTGGGGCTGGGAACACCCAAATCCCCCCAATCGCCTCCAAAATTCCTCCCAAACCCCTCAAAATCCCGCCCCAAAAAATCCCCCCAACCTCGCCCAGAATCTCCCCCAAAACTCCCTTAACGCCCCCTTAAATCCCCCCCAAATCCCCCCCTAACTCCCAAAAACTTGGGAGAGTTTTCTGGGGCATTTGGGGGAATTTGGGGGGATTTGGGGAAGGGGATGGTCCTTATCCAGGCTGAGCAATTTGGGGGGGGGGGTGGTCGGGTCTGCGCTGGGTTTGGGGTCGGGGGGGTTTCCCCGTGTCCCCCTGTTGATCCCACAATTGGTGCCGGGAATTCCGCCGGGAATGGGGACAGCGAAAGGGGGAGGGGTCGCACTGGGCCCGAGGGGGCCCCGGAGAGGGGCGGGGATTCGGGGACACCGCGAGGGAGGCGGGGGAGGACGGAGCGGGGGGGTCCCATCCCTGGGCGGGGTCGGGGGTATCCCGGTTTTCCCAGGACCCGGGAATGGGATGGGGATGGGATGGGAAAGTGGGATGGGATGGAGTAAAAATGGGATGGGAAAATGGGGAAAATGGGATGGGATGGGACGGGATGGGACGGGACGGGATGGGATGGGATGGGATGGGATGGGATGGGATGGGATGGGGTGGGATGGGGTGGGATGGGGTGGGATGGGGTGGGCTGTGCCGCCTCGACCCCCGCATCCCCCCAAACCCCGCATCCCGCACATCCCCCAGACCCCGCAGCCCCCCTGAGCCCGGGTCCCTCCGCCCGCTCTGGTCCCGGTGGTGGCCGGAGGAGGGCCCGGGGGGCCGAGGAGGGCTCGGGAGGGCCGGCCCCGCTCGGGGGCCGGGGGAGGGTCCGGAGCCACCGGGGGAAGGTCCGGGGGGCCCGGCGGGGCCGGCCCGGCTCGGGTTACAGCTCCGGGGGGCGGCGGGGCCGGGAC